CCCTTCCTCGCTTCTCTTCCCTTCCCCCCCCCCTTCTTCCCTTCCCTTCCCTTCCCTTCCCTTTCCTTTCACCATTGTGTCCCCATTGCCTAAAACACATTTGTCACTTAGTAGGCACTTAACATGTGATGACTGAAAGAATGAACAATCAAGTGAATTCATGAACAAAAGCACTTTACTTAATAATCTAGCCTGCTAAAACCCTCTGGACTCCCTAACCCAACCTTGCAGATAAGACCCTTGAGGCTACCAGCCTGATACTATTTTTCCAGCCCATCTTTGATTCTCATGCTAGCTCTGAAGCAGATGGTTCTGAAAGGGCAGGCAATGCTCTCCGGTGAGTTGGCTGGGCTCATACCTCCAACTTTAGACTTGTCTTCTCTGCAGGAAAGGTGTCTGTCAAGCTCATCCACTTCCAAGAACCAGTGTTCATGCCTTTGCCTTAGGTGGGAACCAACAGCCACGCCAAATTCTTGTAACTCGCTCTCAGAACCCTAGAATCCTGCAATGGCAAGTGGGCAGCTGCCTGGAAATCTGAGCAGTGATTTCCCAAACACAACTGCACATCAGAATGCACTTGGGAGCTTGTTTAACACAGGTCCTTGGGCCCATCCCCATACATCCAGAATCAGAATCTCTGGAAGTAGGGCCTAAGAATCTGCATTCTTATAAACCACTCTTCATAATCTTTCATAGCTGGCCCATGAGTAGGAATTGGGGACCCACAGTTTTAGGACTTTCGGGGTGATAGACCCTCTTTAGAGTCTGATGAAAGCCTTTGCACCTCTAATGAAAAAAATACACCCAGATTATTGTCACAGTTTCACCAGGCACATAAACCAGGCCCAGCGGGGAGCAGCAACCTGCCCAAGGACACAGAAATTCAAGATCAAAGTCAGTGTTTCGTTGCCCTGCTCCTAGCACGTGTTCTTTCCCCTCCTGGATTTAACAAGTTTCCAGGTGATTTTGATGTGTGCTTAAGGTGGAAAGCCTCTGGTCTACATGCCCTCAGGGGATCCCAGCCCTAGGAGCCTGGGTTTCCAGAAAAACCCTTGGTGAGGTGGTGACCTCCAGATCCCCAGTTGATCAGTTATGGGAAGAGGGCAGCTGTTTTTTGATGCCTGTTTTATAATTCAGGCAGGTAAAGGTGAGGGAAGCGTGAAGCTGACTTGCCCAGTGTCGATGAGTTGGCTAGGAGCAGCCCTCACAGGTGTGCAGGCACCATATGCTGTCCCTTCTCTCTTCCAGGTGGCCCTGCTCAGAGCCCATGCCGGCGAGCACCTGCTTCTCGGAGCCACCAAGCGCTCTATGGTGTTCAAGGACGTTCTATTACTAGGTGAGGAGGTGGCCTGCTCAGCCAGGGCTCTGGGGAGGGCATGTCCAGTGTGGAACCCACCTGGGCATAGGCGATGTCCATGGCAGCATGCTGGGGCAAGGGAGACCGATCAGAAATAGCCCTGTCCCCTTGGATGCAAAGAAATGTGGACCCAAGGAATTAAAGTTCAAACACACTCAAAGCCAGATCCCAGGCCCAGTCCGATGATTTCAAGCAACTCATTCCCTTAATCTGGGCCTTAACTTTCTCATCTGTAAAATGGGCACTCCTCCCATGAGCACCAACTGCATTGCAACTGCAAAGGACAGGGCCTGTTCAAAGCTAGGGGTAAGGGTACACCCAAGGTAGCTTCCTCATCCATCTCCTTTCCAACTCATCCAGGTAATGACTACATCATCCCCCGGCATTGCCCGGAGCTGGCAGAGATGAGCCGGGTGTCCATGCGCATCCTGGATGAGCTGGTGCTGCCTTTCCAGGAGCTGCAGATCGATGACAATGAGTATGCCTGCCTCAAAGCCATCATCTTCTTTGATCCAGGTACAGCCCGCACCTCCCACCCACCCCTGATGCTCCAGACCCTCTGTCAGACTTCTCCTACTGGGTTGCATACCCCAAGTTCACAACCTCATCTCTTTAGTACAACAACCCGGAGAGGTTTTTTTTCTTAGCTCCATTTCATAGATAAGGAAAAATCAAAGTTCAAAGGGATGATATGACCTGACAGGGCACACTGAGTCCAGAAGCTTGAGTTTTCTCTTTCC